ACCCCGTCTTCAATAGAAACACCTTGTTCTCGCTTCTTCCATCCATCAATTACATTCCTCCTCATCATCCCCCCCCTTGTCCATCTCTGTGGATATCCTTTTTCTTGTCAACTCACCGACAAGTCGGTTGTTTCCACCCCAGATTCCCCTGACCCCCATTCTGAACTTACCTCACCTCACCTCACCTCGCTTTACCTCGCCTTACACAAGCTTGGCAAACATAAACACACTTCAACTCATACCTACGTCCCCTACACATACATACCTTACGCGCGACCGCGCACAAAAGACACATCCCACATGCTCGTCCTCCAAGACGTAGCCATGGACATCCGCACCATCGACAAGGAAGAAAACAGGAGGCGCATGAGAAACGGCGAGCTCTACTGGGCCTTTACCCCGGATCTCATCGCCGACAGGAAACGCTGCAAAGCCGCCTGCGACAAGCTAAACAACGCTGGCGATGTCAGCCGCCGTACCCTCGTTGGCATGTGGAAAGAGTGAGTCCCTTCTCTCTTTTCTCTATTTATCTGTTTCACTATCTCCACCCCCCGGTTCTATTTGCGCGTGTCGCCGTGTCCCCGCATCATTTGGGTATCGGCAACTTTCCAGACCTTTTGAGAGCTTCCCTTGTCCCCCGCAACTTTGCATTACCTCATGTGTACTCCGTACCTAGCATAACGAGTGAACGGATCTGACTTGAGAACCCACCCAGCATCAACCGGGACACGATCCCTCTCCCTCCGCCACGTCTCCGCCATCATGAGGACGATGCCCTGCTTGAAGACTACCCGTGGATCGATACCCCGATAAAGATGGACTACGGCTACAATGTCAAGTATGTGACACCCACCCCCGGATCTCCACAGCCAAGGGAAGCGTGCCTCGTACTCACCGCCTAATAGGCTCGGTGAGAATGTCTACGTCAACTCCAACAGCACATGGATAGACACCTGTCTCATAACCGTGGGCGACCGCACCCTCATCGGTCCAAACTGCTCGTGTAAGTCCCCTCCTCTCTCCTCTCTTCTACTTATACCCCATCAGGCGCAACCCGCGACCCGCGAATTACCTAAGCTGACCTCTCAAAAAGTCTACAGCGGCACACATCCGCTGGAACCCCGTCTCCGCAACGGCACCCGCGGGCCAGAGTCGGGTAAGCCAATCACCATCGGTGAGGACTGCTGGCTCGGCGGCAACGTCATCGTACTGCCCGGAATCACCATCGGCAAGGGCGTGACCGTCGGCGCCGGGAGCGTCGTGACCAAGGACGTGCCGGATTTCGTATGCGTGGCGGGCAACCCGGCGCGGGTAATCAAGACTGTCGAGCAGTCGCAGCCGACGACAACAAAGCCGTCGGACGAAGTGCCAAACAGGATCGTTCCTAGCTCTACTATGTAGTAATACAGTTTTCGCGTGCCTGGCTTTTCATCGTGCGTGTAGTATGTATAGGTGTTTATGTGTATTCATGTCGTATTCGTGTTCATAGACCACCTTGAATAGTGAAGGATGCGATAATGAGGACGAGGACGTTGATGACGCCCCATAGTAACGGGATCCAAGTTGACATGGAGAAGAAACCGGCACGGTAAACCGCAGCTAGGCTGTGACGCAGTATCCCATGTTAGCCTCTCTCTTTATCTGTCTCTCTGTGTTTATCTTCTGCACTCCTATCTTTGATCCGAGTGCGAAATACGAGAAAGAGAACTCACATCAACCCAACAACACTACCCGCAACCAGCGCCTGCACGCCCGACACGATGAGGTACAGCAGCGGCACGGCCCAGATGTACGTCAGCGACCCGCGCTTGTTGGTGTGCATGGCGATGGTGATGGCCGCCGCGCCGAGGTGCACGACGCTGTAGATTATCGTCGTCCATAGCACGGTGAAGCGCCAGATGTCGTTGATGTAGAAGAGGCTCCAGCGGTGGTCGTCCGTCAGGTCGCGGAGCTGCCAGTTGATGCTAGGGAACGAGGGGGTCTTGTAGTTCGTCGGCGGGTAGTCGCGCGCCGTTTGCGACATTGTTCGGGGTGTCGGGTGTTCTTTTTCGGTTCCGGTTCGATTCGACGTTGGAAGAAGGAGAGGATGTAGGCGGCGAGAGTTGTAGGTAGTACGAGGTCGTTGACCTTTTTGTTCGAGGTTCTCGGAGGTTGTTGGTGTACCTAGTATAGGTAGGTAGTCGCAGTTCCTGCGCGCGGTGACGATGTTGCTGGGGTTGAGTGGACGATCTTCGGGTGCCAATTGAGGTGGGCGGGAGGTGTTGCAGGGATGGCGCAGCTTAAGGTAAGCTCGAGGTGTGGCTTTAGGGGCGTGTCCCGTCGGTCTCTAGGTGCCTCGGCAAATGCGCCCGCCCGCCGAACGTCCTGCTATCGGCACCGGCTTCGATATCGCAATCCACCGGCAACATCACCAGCCGCACCTTCCTTCCACCACCGTCTCTTCCGTTGTGAAACTTCTTTTATTCCCCGTCTATGGTTAATTCCCTCCCAGCATAGCCGTCGAATGATCCACCAGTCTCGCGAAACGATACGACACGACCCGACCCGACACGATGCCGGCCGACAGACTCCTCAACACGGTTCTGCAGCTGTACCAAAACGTCCATGACGACCGTAAGACGGACCAGATCGTCGGCTCGACCGTGAACCTCCTCACCTCCCTCTCGAATCCGCTGAACCTCGGCGTCCTCACCTCCCAGCTCCTCATCGCCCCCGCCATCTGGCACCGCCGTGACGGCCTGCGCACGAGTCTGCGCATCATTTCAATCTACAACAGCGCCGCGATACGGGTGCGGCAGAACGAGCTCGACGACGCAAAGGCTTCCTCGGTCGCCAACAATGATTCCCGCACGATTCATACACCGACACCGACGAGGCAGGGTGGCGGTCTCAGCAGCGAGACGTGGGTGCGGGCCGTGGTCAAGGGCGCCGATGACCGCTCCAACAGGTGGCAGCATCTGCTGGTCCTGACGGGTATCCTGATGGGCATGGAGGGCAACGATAAGCGTTCGTTGTCGCGGGGTCTGCGCAATACCCTGGAAGAGGCCGTCGTCACGGCCGCGAACCTCGCGCTGGAGCGCCAGGACGGGTCCTTCGCCTCGGCGTCCATCGTACTGGCGCTCAACTACGTCTTTCCGTTCCTCTCCGAGTTCCACCAGTCCGCCATCAACTACAACGCACTGCTGCCCATCACCGTGCTAGCCATCACGGGAGAGGACGGGTTCCAGGACGGCGGGTTCTTGGAGGACGTTCGGAGGGACGTCAAGCAGAACGGTCCGTTCGTGGAGTGGTCTCCCGCGTCGCCGTCGTTCAGGCTGCAGCAGGCGTTGGAGGGCAAGCCGCTGATGGGCGGCATGGGACCGCTGTCCCGGCTGGCGGCCTTTGCCGTCACGAACGCGACGGACTCGTCGGCCGTGCTCGACGCGCAGGACTCGCTGCTCGAGTTTGCGCAAAAGCTATTTCAGCAGTGGCAGCGCAACCCGTTGTCGACGGTCGACGCCGCGGACGAGACGGCGCGGCTGGAGCACAACACGCTCGAGGGGACCTGGCCGGTCCTCTGGGGCACGCTGAAGAAGACAATGTACGCCACGGTCGCTGTTCTGCAGTCCATCGTTGGGCGCAGTCTTCTTGATCCGCGCATGAGGAACGATGTCATCGGTCCTCAGGTCGCGACCAAGACACTGCTCACTCTGCGGTTTCTGTTCTTCATCTCGTCGAGGCACGGAGCCAGCTCGTTCCAGGCGTACACTTTTACCTACCTCACATCCCTCGACATCCTCGCACGGTTCGGAGATGCTTGCGTCTCTTTCCTCACGGAGACGAAGCCCCCTCACGCAGGAGTGGTGCCCCCCGGCCCCCTCGACAGAACACTAGACCTGTTCTACCTCAACGTCGCCGAGCACCTGCCCCTCAACATGCTCACAGAAGCCTGCGACGCGCTGATCGTCCGGCCGGCGACAGCTTACCTCACCCACACGGGTGCTCTCACATCGACGACGGTTGAGCTCTTTGAAGCAGCCCACAGCGCCGTCCTCTCGGTGCTCTCGTGCCCGCACAATAGCGCCCTGACCGTCACCCTCGTTCCCTTTTACATCGACGCCCTATTCGCCTCGTTCCCGGCGCAGATCTCGACGCGGCAGTTCCGCGTGGCCTTCAAGACGGTCATGCAGATCGTCTCGCCACCCTTTCCCATATCCCTCGCCGAGCCGCAGCTCTCCGAAACGCTCCTCGAAATGGTGCGCTTCAAGGCGCTGGGCGCGGGCACGGCACCGCTGCCCGCCACGCACGACGCGCTCGCGCAGGCTGAGAAGGGCCTCGAGGCGACCGCCGAGCAAACAGAGGTCCTCTCGGAGCAGAGCTCGCTCGTGCTGACGCTGGTGGATTCGCTTCCGTTCCTGCCGCTGCCGTTGGTCGAGGAGTGGTTGACGCTGACGGCGCAGGCGATGAACGAGATTGCGGACCCGGCTGTGCGACGGCCTGTGAGGGATCGGTTCTGGGAGGTGCTGGTGAGTGGCGAGATGGATGTCGAGAGGGCTACGATTGGGGTTGCGTGGTGGACTACCAAGGGCGGGCGGGAGCTTGTTGTCGGGAGGGATCAGGTTCTGCTGCAGCAGCAAGAGCAGCAGCAGATGCCGTTGATGAGTGGTGCGATTATGGATGAGAGTAAGTCGAGTAGGCTGTAAGACTGTGGTCAGAGAGAAGCGTGTGATTTATTTTGTGTATCTGAGCGGCAATGAGATGATATATCATGTAGAATGAAAAATTAATATGAGCAGGAGGAGTTCAAGGCCAAGACTGTCGAATCTAGATTTTACCATCATCGCATCCGTGACGTGTCAAGTGACTGCTCTTTCTGATATGAGGACTCGATGTACAGACACGTGTAGCAAGTCTCACGCAACAGGGAAGGAGGTCAGAATCCAAATTTGCCTGTGAGCGTCACGTCCCTTCGGAATGAGCTCTACGAGATGGACATGTATCACGGGACAGGGTGACCACTGTCACTGAACTGATGTTCCGTATTTGTATCTCGCTAGTCGTATGTAGTGGTGATGCATCGCCCTGCTTCTGCTTCTGTAGTCCTCCCGACAGTCGTGGTTCTGCAACGTTGTTTTCCCACTTCCCCTGGCTGGTGCCCGGCGTGCTCTCCACCCGATGCTCACAGCACTCGCGAGGCTCCCTTGGTGTCTGTAATTCGTTCCAATGCGAGTAGAATGCCTGCTAGCCAATAGTTAGAAAACTTGATGCTGTAGGAAATATAGCCTATGTTCTTGCCTTACCCAAACATTCAGAAGAGAAATCCACAGATGCTACGGGTAGTAGCCAAAGCAAGCAAGCAAGCTATCCAGCCCTCTTCCTCTGTGCAAGAAAGGAGACCACATCCAAAGCAGGCCGACCATCGTCAAATCAACATCAATGAGACACCACAGGTCCGTACCACTTCTTCAGCTGCATGACGACCCGGAGCGCGTCGTCAAAGATGAAGAGGTACGTCTCAAAGTTGCGGTCAAAGAAGCTGTCGGCGTCCGGCATGCGCAGGTCCTTTGACGCCTTGATGAGGCGCGGGACGACTCTCTTCAGGACGGCCATCTCCTTGTCCGTGAGCGGGTTGACGTGGAAGGACTGGCGGCCGCCGAGGAGGCGGGTGATGACGATGCGTTCCTGGCGGGTGATTTCTGGTGCGTCGGAGAGGATTTCCGAGGGGCCTCTGGCTACGTTGGCTCGTTTGGTCTTCATTTTTTGAGGGGATGGATGTGCTCGAGGTGTATGGATAGAAGTGACGGTTTCCTTGTTTGTGAAGAGGGATGGGTGATGATGTTGGTGAGGATAAGGTGAGTTGTCGTAGGTTAGTGATGTGGAGGACAAGGAGATGTTGTAGGACTGCACAATCTCTTGTTGTTGCTTGGGGGACAGATGTCTCTTTGATGAGGCAGAGAAGAAAAAGAGAAGGTTTTGCTTTGTGGATTGCGAGAAGGAAGGAGCGATCAAGACATCATGGTCTAGAGGAAGGACCGGCCTCGGGCTACGAGCAAGCTTCATACCCGCCCCCCTTCTCATCCGAATAATCATCGGTGTGAGTATATTCCTTTCAAGATGTGATGGCTTGTTTCCCTATTCTCGTGATCCGTCTTGCATTTGTCCAGTGGCTATTGATGCTGCATTGTAGTGATTCTACAGAACCAAGGAAACCGAGAGATGACACGTAGCCGAGAAGCTTGCTTTGATATACTCAAGGGACGAGCAAGTAGATTTCCTCTTCGCATTCAAACTCAGTTCTCACTTGATTTCTATAGGGGTGATAACGCGGCGTAACACAGGAACAGAGTGAGACGACAGCCGATGAAAAAGCTCGACAACCATGATTTCCTGCGCGTAAGCGAATCAAATCTACAAGGTTCCATGGGGCACATGACTGTTGTTTGACAGTGGGAAATACCTCTTCAGTATCTCAGCGCTCATTTTGTTCATCTCTCTGGATGACTGCCATGCCTCCTCGCATCTGGAAAAGGCCATGCCCTACGAAGCGCATTAAAGGAGAGAAGATGAGCGGGCATTTAGTCTGGTCAGAGAAGCAACGCGAAAGCCCCTGTTTTGGATGCCAACATATGGCAACGATTGGTGGACCTTGCATCTCTCATTCCCAAAACTATTGCATTTGTAGGAGATGTGCTTCAGAGAATACTCCTCGCGCGAACGTCGGTACATCGCACGCCTCAACTTCAAATTAAAGTATTCTGGGATTCAGCAGCATAATATCAGGCCTGCAGTGGTCAGAGCGAGTTCATAACCTGAAGCCTCAAGTCGGATCAGCAGGGGCTCGCCTCTCTTCACGTATACATGATCATGCCTGGGAGTATATGTCGAGAAGCACTGCAATCCAGGGCCGTCGCCAGGACACCATGGACTATTGATCTTACCACTCTATGTTCAAGCTGGCTTAGATTGGTTTGATACTTGAAGTATCGAAAGGCAGTGGTTTGCCATCACGGTCTAGCGAGGATCGACGACTCCTGCCACGTTTCTGGGTCGTTCAGCTGGACAGCGAGGGAATGTCCGGCAATTTTGGATGACAAAATTGCCCTCTAGCAGGAACCTGAGACGGTCGGCACTCTCAGTGTTGAACGCAGTCGGACCAAAGAGACAGGAACCCCCAGTAAAAATGCTCTTCCCAGACCAAAGTCAAAAGCCACTTCTCATGGCAAGTCTGCAAGCCAGCAATTCCCAAACTTTCGTCGCTACATCAGAGTCGCTCAAACAACATAGCAAGATAACAGCCTTATTGTGCTCACATGCGAATGCATGTCTCTAACTCAAGTAGCAAAGAGTCTCCCCAATGTCACCCAGATCAAGTCGTGTAACAGGCGTGTAAGTCAAGAGTCAAGAGACGCCCACTCAGCTCGGCACCAAACTTAAACTCATGCTCTCAAAGTCGCTCTCGGCTAAGCCGGTCCCAAAAAGATGTATGCAAACCAACAACCATCAAAAAGCAAACTTCGAGAGAACATCAAAAGATTTGGTGTTCCGACACCGAGAGTCGAACTCGGATCTCTCCGGGACTTTGAATCATTTGACTGATTGAAAGCGGAGTATGCTAACCGCTACACCATGCCGGATTGTTTTCTTGCTGCCAACAGTTAGTATATACAGGCAGAACCATGTCTGTGATTGGTCGTTCCGTTACTAGGATGACTAGCGGCGTGTCTGGGGTTGGTGGAATGTGCATTGACAGGGCGGTTCTTTTCTGTGATCCTCAAACGGCTCTGAACTGCTTGGTTTCTGGACCAGTCTGATGGCAATTAACATCGTGGTGACTCGAGCGTAAAGCCGAACCTGTTGCAAGTTTCCATATTCAACTCAATTGAGAATTGCTACCTGCAGTCGGAAGACAGGGTTCACATAGAGAAAACCCATGGTTGGCATTGAGCCGCCAATGCGCCGACCCTTAAGTTGGGAGAGAGCTCTGGAGAGTTGACCTTGCCTAGTTTACTCAAAAGACGTTCAAGAATTGCCCGACATGCCACCGACTAACTAACTCACTTTCTCTTTGCTCGAAACAGCGATTTGACTTCTGTCTCGCTCAGCATTAAACTTATCATGAACAGAGCTAAACACAACGACCCTGGCCCGAAGAAACGAAAGGGATTTGAGCAGATTTTCCCGAACCATCTCTCTTCGTCCCACGGTACGGACCAGGTTTCACATTGAGGTGGTGTCACTGGAGTGTGTTGCCTGAAGATTATGAACATCGGACGCGGCGGCATCGACACTTCTTGGCAAAACGACGGATGTAGTCCGAACGCTTATTTGTGAGGCATCAAGCCAAGCATCGCGACGTGACAAAGGTTCCCATGGAATGCCAAATGTCTAATTACTGCGTACTGCAGCCTGCAGGTATTCATGGCCTCCCCGGAACCCCCTCCGCAGCGCCCCGAAAGATGACGATCTCGCGAACCTTGACGGGTATCTGTGTTGGTACCTGGGGGCATTGCGATCCTCGTCAACCTCGTCGCCTGACTGACCGACGTAACCGCGCTACAGTCTAGACAATTGACTGCTGCACATGGTGTTTGCGATGACCGTTGGAGTACTACACTACGTGCGGCGTGCCAGGTGCTGACATGAGCAGCAGTGGCCGGCGGCCAGCTGGCCCCTCCCACACACCTCGATGAGCTTGGCCCAAAGAGGCAATGAAACGACAAGACTTGCGTCTGAAGGAATCCCCTCCCCGTCTTCGAATTCTCCACCAGCGCGGTCCACCACCTCACGGAAGAGAGGCACTGGCTCTGGCACTGGCACAGAGGGGAGCGCCCCGCCCTAGGGCTTCGCGTACCAAGTACGGGATGGGATGAGTTACGTTGCAGGAAACCTGGAAGAAAGGAGGGAAGGGAACGTGGGAGAATGGAAGAGTGCGACTGAATGCGACGCGGTGGAAGGTCCTTTTGGCTTTTGTGTCAGACCATTGGCTTTCCGATGTTCGGATGCCGCGGCGAACGATGGCAGGACCGCGCTGCGCGGAAATGGTCCGGAACTCGGAGGCTAAGAGGACTTGGCAACTTGCCCGGTTTGGTCTCAAGACTAGAATTTTTCTAGAACATGGGAGCGTCCCCGCTCTTCGTTCTGCTCAGTTTTTCAGATACGTACCGAGGCTCGGACCACCTGGACCCCCGATCCGACGCCAGGACCAATTCGTCCAGACGGTCACCTGAACGGAGCCACCAAATGAGGTTGGCGACTTTCTCTCTTGACCGTCGACCGGCCACCGTGTTCACGGACGACACGACGGACGATAGACGACGGACGACGCAAGGTACTGCACTTGCACGGTCTGATCGACTGCCAACTCAACAATTCGTTTGCAACCGACAAGTCTTGGCTTCCTCCCTGGTGACGGTCTCCCGATCTCTGGCGAAAAGACGAACTTTGGCGGCTATGCTCGGAAAAGTCAGACGACGTCGGCGCAGCCGCCAACCCAAACCAAAGAATTGGAGTGTACCAAACGTTGGGGGTTGTTTTGGAGAACATCTCCAAGCATGACGGAGGGTTGGAAAAATATTTCAACATCGCAGCTGCAGCATGAATGAAGGTGTGACGAAACGCCGCCGCCATTGCCCTCTCCCGAATGCTCGGGTCCTGCCGTAACAATGAGAGGCGTGCGTTTTGTCTTGAATGGGCAACAAAATCGTTCAATTATTGGCCGCCAATTCTTTTTTCTCTTCCAAACCTTTCCCACACCAGGATAGACCACCACACCAAACCTCAACCGCGTCCGACCTTTGGCCTTCGTCACAACTGGAGAGGGGCGCTCCGCGGAGATGCAAATTCTGCATTCTCAAGGATCTGAGGCAGGCATCCATTAGTGTGGTCGCTAACGTTGCCTTACCGCGCAGTCTCGCAGGGATACCGTCTAAGTGTCGCTAGGCCTTTTGGGGGCTGCCAATTCGTGTCAATCTGTGCTGCAAGCCTACAAGCCTGCAAAACGCTTTCAGGGCTGTTACAACCTACGGCACTTCCCAATGCTGCCCGTCGCTGATCATTGCATCGGTACCGCCGTGCTCGAAGCCTGGGTGTGATGCCAATGCTTTTAGACTGTCCACCAGATGCTTCAGCCTTCAGCCTTCAGACCGTGGGGGAAAGGATGCCAGTCTAGCAAATGCTCATTCTGCCTTGTCGAAGCCCCCCAACTGGCGATCATTAGCTGGGGTCAGGATAGGTTTTTGATGCTTCTTATCTTCAAGTTCATGGGGGCTCCGATTTCCAAATCACGCATCTCAGCCTCATTCCGACTGG